TTTATACTTACTCATTATTTAATTTCATTTATTTTCAAATATATCAAATATTATATTTGTAAATTTAATAATAATGATGTTATTGAATCATATAATATTTATTTTATATTTATTATATATTTAATATTATATAATTTATATAATTTATTTAAATATATTCCCGATTTAGATTTAATGAATATTTTATATAAAATATATAAAATGAATGTACATAAATATTTATATATTATTATAAATAATGAATGAAATATAAATTATAATTAATTAAATTATATTTATATTTATTATTTATTTATTTTAAAATAAAATGAATGAGATAGAATATGAAATATTATTTATTATCATTATGAATATATGTTATTTTATTATTATTATTGATTTAGAGATATTTTATATAGATTAATATATTAATTCAATATTAATCATTTATATTTGTTATTATTTATTTATTTATTATTTTGATTTCATTATTATTCATGTTATTTATTATTTATTTTCATATATTATTATTCTTTATCTTATTTTCATTGTATGATTATATTATTTATTATTCTGATATATTATTTTATATATTTTCTTTCTTTATTATTAAATTTATCATTTTGATTATTGAATATATCAATATGTACATAATATACAATATAAATACAAATAAATGAAATATTTCAACATTTAATGAATGAATCAGATGATATTAATCAATAAGAATTATTTATTTGTGTCATAAATAATCAATATAACGAAATCATCAATAAAATAATAATAATAAAATGAAATATGAAAATTAACAACAATAATCATTAATCAACAATTTGATTAATGAAATAATCAAAATATAAAATCAAATTCATCATTATATCCTCTCATTTCTAAATAATTTTAATATAAATTAAAACAAAATGAAGAATAAAGAATGAATAAATATAAAATATAAATAAAATAAATAAACAAGAAGATAAATAAGATAAAATATATAATAAATAATAAACAAAATAAAATAAAGATATAAAATAAAAAAGAAAGATAAGAATAAGAATAAAAATAAAATAAAAAGAAATAAAGAATAAAAAAGAATTATAAAACAAATATAAAGAATGATATATCAATCAATAAGATAGAAAAGAATAATATCAAAAAGAATAAATAAGAAAAGAATAATAATATAAATGATAATCAATTAAATTTATTTCTACTTCAAATTATATTGTATTTCTTTTATTGTATTTTTATTTCATTCAATATCATTTGTTAAAACAATTTCTTGGTATTCTTTTATTTTTCTTTAATTCTTTTTCACACCCACATTCACAAAAACATCCATCTCCAAATGATTTAATTGATGATGGTATATTAATTGATTTTAATGATGTACATTTTTTAAAACAATAATATCCTATTTTAATAATTGGTGATGGTAAATTAATTGATGTTAGTGAAGTACAATCTCTAAAACAACCACTTTTTAATTTAGTAATTGTTGTAGGTATATAAATCGATGTTAATGATAAACATTCATCAAAACATCACCATCCTATTTTACTAATTGATGGTGGTATATTAATTGTTGTTAATGATGAACAATATCCAAAACAACAATCTCCTAATTTACTAACATATGTTGGTATATTAATTGTTATTAATGAATAACATCTATTAAAACATGCATTTCCTAATTTAGTAATTGAAGATGGAATAATAAATTTATTAATATCTTTCTTTTCAATATTCTTTCCATTGATTATTTGTAGATTATGTGGTATTTTAATACTAACTAACACTGGTTCATTTATAAATATTCTTTCTTGACTAATAAATTGTAAATTATCTATATTCATAGTAGTTAATGATGTACATTCATCAAAACAACCACCTCCTATTTTACTAACAGATGATGGTATATTAATTGATTTTAATGATGAACACCTATCAAAACAACCATCTCCTAATTTAGTAATTGTTGTTGGTATATTAATTGATTTTAATTCATCACAATTACAAAAACAATTATATTTAAGTGATTTAACTTCTGGTGGTATTGTATTTCCATACGTATATCTATCTTCTTCTGTATATTCTATATTTTTACAGATATTTCCTTTTTCTTTTTCTTGTTAATATTCTGAATAACTTACTAAATACCATATTACCTTTTTAAATATTTTTCCATCATTAAATATTTCATCATTTTCATTATAAATATGAAATGTTTCAATATTAGGAAACAATTTTCTTGAATATTCATTTAATGGAATTGGATTAAAATGAAATCGTTCAATATTTCCTCTATATCTTTTAACTCCCATTTCTAAATTAATAAAATCTTTAATATTATTAAAATACATTGATGTTATCATTATTTCATTATGTCCTAATTTCATTATTGATTTATTATTTATTAGTTGTTTTTATTATTTCTTTTATTTTTATATTTTAATTTCTTCTTTTTTATTCTTTTATCATTTTTCTATTTTTATTAATTAATATTTGTTATGAAAAACAATAAATAATAAGAAATAAAATAAAATGATATTTATTTTTATTTTTAATAAATTATAATTATTAAATATTTCATTTTATTTTATATTTTATTCATTATTTCATTTTATATTTTATTTTTATTTAATAATATAATAATAAAATATGATAAAAGATAATAAATATAATAATAAATGAATAATCAATATATTTATAATTAATGATAATACAATTAATGATATAATTAATGATAAATAATTATGAAATCATTTATTCTATTATCTTTTATTTTTATTCATTCTTAATTTATTCTTTTCTTTATTTTTATTATTATTTTATATTTAAAATGTTTATTTAAATAAGAAATAATGTAAATAAGAATAATATAATGAATAAAACATAAATAAATGAAAGTATTAATTGATAAATTAAATAATAAAGTATTTATATAATATTTCAATAATTAATAAAATATGATAAAATAAATGATAAATGATAAATATAATATTCAAAACATAAATTAACAATGAATAAAATAATATATCAAATAATGAAGAATGATAAACAAATGAAATAATGAAATATAAAATTATTTAAATCATAATTTCATTCATGTATATTAATTTAAATCATTTCAATAAATTATAAACAAATAATTATTTAACAATAATAATATAAAATATAAATATAAATAGAATAAGTTAATAAATAATATAATAATATAATTATAAATAATTTAACATACAAAATAACAAATTAATATCAAATGAAAAGAAATAAGAATAAATAAAATAAATACAATAAAATGAAATAACATAAACATATAAATAAATAATAAATAATAAATAATAAAATGGTAATAAATCAAATAAACAAAACATAATATTTTTAAAATTAAGAATAAAATTAAAAATAAGAAGATATAAAAATAATTTATATTTTTAATATAATAAAATGAATAATATCTTATAATATATAACATAATAAATTATTCATATATTTAATAAGTAATTATTTCATTCAATTTTTATATGAATTTGATAAATAAAAATGAAAGAATGTTTAATGACGATATATATCAAATAAATAAGAATAAATATTTTAATTAATATAAAATAAATGTTATTATTCAATAAATAAAATGAATAACGAATAATAATAATAATATAAAATAATAAATTATTATTTCATTCTTATTTATTCTTTTATCATAATGAACTAAAATAATACAAAATAAATAGATCTTATAAATTTATCATTTAAAATTTAATATAAATTATTATTGATTAAAAGTAATTATTTTATTGTTATTTCTCTATTTATTTATTATTTTCATTGTTATTATTTATATTCAAAATGAAAAGTTAATTCTTTATTTTTATTGTTTATTATCTTTTTTATTATTTTCATTATCTTTTTATTTATTTATTAATTTAAAGAATAAAATATCATTATTTATTACTTTTATTAAATAAATTCTTTATTTTTGTCTTATTCTTATTTATTATATCTCATTTATTTTATAAATAAAATATTCTCTTTCTTATTTATTTATGTTTAATTCTTGATATTTGTAATAATCATTTAATTATTTTAGTTTTATCTTTACCTTATTCATTCTTTTCTTATTTTCTATTATTCTTTTCTTATTTAATTTTATTATTTTATTTATTCTTATTTATCATTATTATTATTAAATTATTTATTTTATTTTATTATTTTGTTAATATAATTATTTCTTCTTTGATTTTGTTGTTATTTATTTTGAGTATTTCATTATTTATTCACAATATATTATTTCTTTATTTATCAATAAATGGCAACGAAAAAAAAGGAAATAAGAGAAAAATGAAGAAAAAGAAGGACATGAAAGAAAAAAGTGAAATTAAGAAGTAGAAGAAGATGAAAAGAATAAAAGTAGAATGTTGAGATTATAAAAATGAAAGAAGATAAAAAGGAATATTTCAAAAAGAGATAATAAAAGATGAAAAGAATGATGAAATAATGGATGTATTTTTTATTACAGAAATTAGAAATATGAAATAAAAAAGTGTTTAATTTATTGATGCAAATTATTTAACTTTATTTTATTTATGCAAAATATTTTATTCATTTTTATTTTTATAATTTTTATTTATATATATAATTTATTATCAGTGTTTATTATATAATCAAATAGAAATATTATGTGATATTATATAGTATATAATATGTAATACATAATATATAATAAATAATAAATATTAATTTCATATAATATAGATAGAAGATATAAAAATTAAATGAATAATAATAAATGATAAAGAAATAATAAGAGAAAAGAAATGATATAATAATAAATAAAATATATAAATAAAAAGATAAATAAAATCAATATAATATAAATAAAATAATAATAAATATAAAAAGAAAATAGATATAAAATATAAAAATATAATCAAAATAAAAATAAAATAAAGAAATATATTAATATATAAGAAAATATATATAAATAGAAATATAATAATATATAAAATAAAATATAAATAATAAGAATATAAAACTAATAAAATAAGATA